TTTCTATAATTGGTAACAGAAGCCATTGGTTTATACCAACGGCTTTCCTTATTTCATTCTCCAATTCACTCTCGTGTTGTCATGTGTGACGTCATGAGATGCGGTGCGATTTTCGCTTCTAGCGTCTTATATGCGCGTGTTCATCGTTGCTTAGTGATCCACTATGTAAACTTAACAATGACAGACTATCATCACTGTCGTGTCCGTATATTGTTTGATATGTTTGTAATTACATCTTTGATAATGGCTTGAGTAAGCCGAAAGCTTAGATTATATTAAAAAAAAAAAAAATAATGGATAAATATTGTGAATTTCTTTTTCGCTTAATGATAATGTTATCAAACTTATCAGAAGATACGAAAAATTTTACATAAAATAAATAGACAACACTTGTCTATATTATTTAATGAAACGTGTATAAATGAAAATATGTTGCCTAAATACACAATATATATATATATATATATATATATATATATATATATATATATATATATATATATATATGTGTGTGTGTGTGTGTGTGTGTTTGCGTGTGTTTATGTTCATCAGTGTAGGAATATGTGGCTGTGCATATATGTGCATTTGTGTTTATGCATATTTGTGTAGGTATATGTGCCTATGTGTTTTGCTTTATTATTCTCCCTGCTATTTCTGAATTAGCTTTCAAGAAATTACGTTATATTATACTTTTCGGAAAGTAATTACATTTTGAGGAATCCAATATACAATGAACTCAATTTAAATATATTTAAATATTGTTTATTAAAAAAATGTAATCACATTCATTTTCAACTACTGCAGTGCAATACATTGGCAAACATATTATAGAATCGAGTTCTTTTTTTTTTCCGAAATACAATTTTAAAAAAATGTTTTCGACGCCTTTATTTCCGGCTTTTCTGCTTTAATGCAATGTACGAATGATTAAAACAGATCAGAATTTGTAGGGATTAATTCTGGTGAGTGTTTTTGTTTTGTTTTTTTTTTGTTTTTTCAGAATCTGTTCTTGCATTGTCATGTTTGAAAATAACACCATTTCTGTTTCGAAAAACTAAAGAATTTGCTGGCAATAAACATCTACATAGATGGTAGTTTTATGATTCATTAACTCGTAAGCAAGGAAATATTTCATATTCAGTCAGTTACAAAGTAAGGAATTCAGCGGCAGAGGCTCTGTTTTAGGAAAATTAATTCTTCTATTATTTGCCATGTCCCTTATGTTTGTTGGTAATTTTGCCTCTTCATAACTTCCTCTACCTTTTTGCACTAAGTAAGGTTTGCCTTTTCGTTATCTCTACCAATCTCTGTTCTGCCATCAATTTATACAAACTCGCTATGTATGTTACTCTCTGATTTCCGCTGCCCAACCTTCCTTCAAATCAAGTGTGATATAACTCAAAGGTGAAAATCTACAAATAACAGTGTATCTGTATCTATTTACGATATCAAGACTCTTTCGACGTAATTCTTCGTTTAAACAAAGAAGTTGCTGGCAATAAACATCTACATTGATCACAAGCATGGATTCTTCGTTTTCTGTTGCTATTTCTTCGGCTGATCCAGTTCAGTTACAGCACATGTTGTACAGGGTGAATGAACACAAGATCATGGGGTACGATGAGGAGTTTCAACAGGAAATTATTCTATCTTAAATAACCAATTTAACCCAGGATCATGTCCTCCTTAGATCACTTGCCTTGAAGCCCTTGAACCAACATCTTTGACACCGCCAAGTCGCAGATCAAAATATCGATAAAAAGTGGATAGTGCATTAAGATGCTGTGAATACCTAGCAGACACATATTTAAATTACAATAATCGTATTAAAAGAATATGCCTATTAAGAAAATTGAAAAAATGATTTGAAAAAGCAGTGATATTTGTACCGCCAAATCGAAACTCGTTTTGCCTTCCATCAGTGTTATATAGGAATAATGTGTCGCTGCGACACTTGTGATTGAACATAGATTGCCACTGAGTAAACGCAGGCGATTTAATTAAGTAGACCACGTGATCATAGAGGAAACGCATATATGGTAGCATGTGTCTAATTGATCACTATTCCTAGTCTATACTCTATACTATACGTATCTGCATTTCTAATCTCTCCTCTATTATAATATGGATCTACATTTCTAATCTATCCTCTATTACTATACGGATCGCCATTTCTATTCTATCCTCTATTACTATTCGGACTGCTATTAGTGCGAGATTATTGGAATGCGTCCGACACCTGCTTTGTTTAACAGCTTTCTATAGTCGTTTCTGCGATTACAAAGTTTATACTACAACGAACATTACGAAAGTAACAAAGAATATTCGTTGCAATCAGGAAATGGAAACACAAACATCAGCATGGCTTAGATAATTACTAGCAGAGCAACTGTGCAACATTGGTGAAGGAGATGTATTCTATTGAACCAATTTCTCGGTCTGCTCTTAGTAAATTAGGATCACTATGTTGTGCCAAACAATTATTCTTGTCAGAATCCGTCTCACACTTTTATAAATCTACCGCGCATTAGTTATTCCTGACGTATTTGTTCCTGCTATGCATTTCGAGATTCTTGAAAGGGTCTGGACCAGACCTGGTATCTTGACTTCAGTCATTTTTCCAACCACATGACCTGAATTCCTTCTTTTATTTTCTATAAATATTGGCAATTATCGAACATGGCAATTGTTCTAACGAGCTTTCCTCCTCTTTGAGCACCTCAACTCCAATATAACCCTGCTACCAGACTGGCAATTAGTTCTCATTGTTTTACTTATGAATTTGCTACGTGTAATTTCTATTCTACTAGTTTCTATTTTCAAACTTCTCTCCTGTGGAACTCTCTTCCAGTTAATGTTCTTCCTGTCATCTACAATCCTCACAAATTTAAAAGCAGCGTCAATTGCCATATTCAGTCTTTTCGCTTATAGTAGTCTCTTTTGACTTTTTTTGCTTCCTAATTACCTTCTAACTATTCTTCTCATTGTCTTCCACTCCCAGTAAATCCTTGCGTTCTAAATACATTATTATCTTTCTTTCTTCTTTTTTTTTGGATGGGGTTGTAATGATTTAAAATTTACATACATTTCAGTCTATAAAATTTACACAGTTTCTAGAAACTTTTAAATCTTTAATAAGATCCAATAAGATACAAAACATTCCATATGATCCTTTTGGTCAAATCTGTTAGAAAATGTGAAGAGTGAGCTTCTTGTACTTGCTCTTCAATCGAAAATACAACTTTCAAATATCTTTAGAAACATTCTATAAATAAAAGAGAAATATTACGAATAATAATGATAATTGCTTTACTTCAAAGAATAAATTGTTATGTATTTATCAACAATGCGAGAAGGAGGCGTTTGACAATTGCTGACAGTCGCTGATTTTTCTTAAAGCTAACGTCATAAAATCCTAATTCATTCTCTAAGGCCCGAAACTATTATTGGTGTATTAATGTCCAACTATCTGTGAGCAGGATCATTTGCAGTTTCATTAGTGGAGACATCATTTTAGATGAAATAAATGATGGTATATATCCATCTTAAACAATTTGAAAATTTCATCAAAATTATATGTTCTAGGAAAATAATTGGATTAGAGAAGAAAATTCCTTAATAAAAATGGCATATAACTTAGAGGTGCTTCAGTGAAAGACAGGAGCGAAATCCAAAGTTATATCGTGATAGCGAAATATGGTTTGCAAACGCTAAGCAAAGTATTAAAAAACAGGATAATATCGATGGAAAGTATTATGGTGGAACACACCTATTCTAGAGTTAATAGACTCTCCCACCTAATATAAGTAAGAGTAGTAAAAGAAACGAGTGTCAGTCGACATCGGACGACAGTAGTCGACAGTTAGTCGAATACGAAAGTAGTCAGCAACCACAACAAGAAAATTTGTTACCGTCGAAATAAGTAATAAAAATATAAAAATGCAACTTGACACTGGCTCAGATCTATCTATCATAAATTTGCATACGTGGAAGAAGTTGGAAACCAACTTTAATGAAGACAAAGAAAATCGCGAGGTCAGTGACGGAGAAAAAAATACAATTTATCGGGAATTTGTTAAAATATCACGTTAAATAAAAAACGCAGAAAGCTAAACTATTTGTCATAGAAAATACTACGAACTTACTTGGTACGAATTGGTTAACAGAATTCCAATTATGGGATCTACCGATAAATTCTTTCTGTTACAAGGTAGAAAGTTTTAACACCGAAGCCCAAAAATTATTAAAGAAACTTAAGGAAACATTTCCTACTGATTTTTCTCCAGGTTTGGGAACCTGTACCAAGATGGAGGAAAAATTCCAGCTAAAAGAAAACGCTCAGGCGGTATTCAAAAAGAAAAGAAATGTGACGTTTGCCTCAATTGAACAGATAGATAAAGAATTGGACAGATTAGATAAAACTGGTGTACTTAAAAAAGTTGAGTATAGTGAATGGGGTACATCGACGGTATACGTGAAAAAAAAGCTCCAAAAAGTAAAGATGAAGCCGACACCAAGAAAAACTGGGGTGCGAGTTACCCGCAGCTGTAACAGAGAGAGGTTGACACACATGAATGCACACACGCAAATATAACGTTTATTGATTGAAGATGGAAAACCATCTTCCGTGAAAGTTACAAACTGTGTCAGCGCTATCAATAGGAAAGAATCTAGTACAATGATATATGAAACCTGAGACGGCTGATGGATAAAGAATAAATTTCAAATCGGCGTTGGCGAGGACTTGTTTATAAACAAATCAAAAGGGCAGGAGGCGATGCTGAATTTGGGTCATTAAAAAATAAACGAAAATAATATTTTTGATAAAAACATATTGAAGTAAATTTGACCGGGGAGGTAATATCAGTGTATGTTTACCGCTAGCGAAATCTGATCTTAACATGAGTTGTATCCGCTGAATTTGGTCATCGAAAAGACAATTGAAATGTACATTGAATTAATTAATTTTATCCACTAAGAGATTTGAAATAGATCTGAATTTAAACTTTGCTTATTGTGACACTCATGTTAAGCGCGTTAACAACCTGGCTTATAACCTTCGGTTTGCTATATAAACGGGAGTTTTGCTGAGTTGGGGAGACTTGGGCGTTAGACGAGAGTGACGTTGAGAGAGAGAGATAGACTGTCGTTGCAGTGAGTCGGTCCAGTGGCGAGTCAGAGATTAGGCCTTCAAGAAATATCAACGTCGTTGTAGCAGTCACATTGAAAAGTCGCTGAAACTTAACGTTTGTTACTTACGACAGCCAACTGAAAAGTTACACTTCCACATAGGGCTGGAATTACGAGTCACATATCCTCCCAAGTTGATTTGAAACGAGTTTACACACACACGTCTCTCTGTTGGTATAATTGGTAGAGGAGTGGTCCTCTGTTCTTATGTTAATTGCTTTTCTATCCTTTCTGTAAACTCTTTCTACTGTTGTTGTTTTCTTATATAAAAGACATCAATATTTTACTCATTGTTTTTCAGCTTCTGAAGATATTATTTCCTTGTTTGCCACATTCTAATTTTAACGCCGCCCACCCTCAAAGCCGTGCCTACATCCCCAATCAACCGTAAACGTATGGACAACATCCCGCTTACTGGATCTAAAAACTAACACAACGTGGGCAGCAGGCGGAACTTGGCCAGTGACCGGTCGAACAAATCTACGGGTACTCTGGGAGCGTGCGGCCAGCTACCCCTGAGTTCGGTTCAGTCTGAGTGGGCGCCTCAACCCAAAGAGGAAGACGCCAGAGATTGAGGCGCTGAAGGGACGATTGGTAGACAGCCAAGGACATGCAGTATTATTAAATGATTTAAGTCAAATGAAGTCACCACAGAAAACGTTAAGAAGCACAAGATCAACAAAAGGGAAGCTAGAGGCTGAACAAATAGAACCACAAGAAGAACCTTCAGAAAGTGTGACCCCATTTTTAAGAAGCTCAAAGCGAATGGCTGTTTCTGGTAACACTATTGAGGCACCAAAAAAAAAAAATAGAAAAGCGGATAGGCAATATGATGTACTTGGTGAAAGGCGAAAAATTCACTTGGAGACGGTACATTAACCAGATCAGACGACGCTCTTCAGAAGTGGTTGACAGCGGTCCCGCGGAAGAAACGCCGATAGAGGTGATTTTCGATACGTTTGGTCTAACGACGCCTGCAACGATTTTACCTGCGGCACGCCGATCCAGGAGAAAAAGAAAGGCAACTGATCAGTTAAAAGTGAATCGAAAACGTAGGCAATACGCTACGATGATGCTAAAAAATGAAGTTTTTTGTGTTTTTTTCTTCATATTTCCTGTAAAAAATAAATTTAGAAGTTTGGTTTTAAATTAAGTTTTAAATTTTAAAAGTTTTAGGAGGGTGTTTATGATGAAACACACCTATTCCATAGTTAATAGTCTCTCCCACCTAATATAACTAGGGGTAGTAAGAGAAACGAGGGTCAGTCGATGTCGGCCTAGCGGCTGAACGGTTGAACTCTCTGCCTTTGGGCGGGGAGGAACCCAAACAAGGCTCTGCCGAAAGGCAGAGTCTCGTTCGGAGAGGTAAACCGACCTTGAACCCGTTTATACATTTTCAAAGGGTATATTTTTGCCCCAGTCCACGGGCTTGGAGATCCCACGTTAAACCGGCCTTGTACCACATGATACCCTTGTGGGGGTTGACTAAATACTAGTTGATGTCGGACGACTGTAGTCGACAGTCGAATACGAAAGTAGTCAGCGACGACAACATGATTACTCTGCATAATACCTATTATATCAAGTTCCTAACGTTTTTTACGTCGAACTATTTAGAACCGATTTAGTACAAATACAAGCCTCCATTGCGAAATAACTCCACAACAGAAATAAGGAAGATTATACTTAAATTTTGTATAATATGTGTCCTCCTATATAGTAGGTAATATTAGACAATCACCTCACAGATGTAGAGGAGACTTGTCTCAGTTGACATATTGTTCTACAGAAGGATGCTGAAAATACAATAGCCTGAAAATGTGAACATCGACGATGGGTTAGTGAAAATATAAAAAAGACTCTTGTTATTATAATCAGAAAAAGTGAGTTGACGTTTCTAGGGTATATAATGTGTAAACCGGCCTTAGAATAATTTGAAACTGACAGGATATATTTAGGTGGGAAGCACAGAAGAAAACAAAACCTACCCTAACTAATGATCTTCTGCAAGTGGTTAACAGAGCTGGGATTTGGAGATAAAAAAAGACACATTTTTCTAAGAGCTAAACAGGACAGGACATTTTGGAGAGCCATGATCACCTACGACGTGAAGGGACAAGGCATATTGAAGAGGAAGAATTTATATATTTTGCTCAAATGTGAACTTCTTGTAAATGTCATTTAAATGGTCTTATTAGAATAAATTGCTTTTTTGTTTAATATGAATTGTATATTGAAGGCAAGAGGGGAATAACTTTGTGCAAACTTTTAGCAGAATAAGGATTAGGAGATATAATGAAAAGAGAAAAAAATTACTAAAAACTACCAAAGACAAGAAATTGTAGAGAAATACGTCCGCACACGTCCTGAAGGGACACAGTACGTAGAATCAGAAGAAGTTAGTAAATGGATGGATCAGAAATGGAGAGAGAGAAAAGACAAAATAGACTAAGAGCTAAAAAGGCCGGAAATTGTACAGAACCAAGATCGTCTACACCCTGAAGGGATATGTCAAGTCGTAGTAGTTGTAGTAGTGGTAGAACAACAACAACAACAACAACAACAACAACAATAATAATAATAATAATAATAATAAGAAGAAGAAGAAGAAGAAGAAGAAGAAGAAGAAAAAGAAGAAGGAATGAATGAATTTGAGTCAATGGATGGCGGAGTAAGGTTTAGTAAAGATAATAAAGAGAGAAAATTTGCTGAAAATTTGAACGAGGAGAGCGCGGCGAACCGGTTTCTTCTCGTCGGACGATCCGCGCGGCGCTTCGCGCGCCCTCGGCGCCCCACCGTCTCGGGTGCGCGCGGGACAGTGTTCGCGGGAGCTTCGAAACCGGCGCGGACGCGTCGATTCCCGTGCCGGCGCGTGACGTCGTCTCGTCGCGTCGTCTTCTCCGCGTCCGGACGCCAAAATCTGGGCGCGCGGGAGGGCACTGCCAGCGCGGTAGGTCGGCGTCTGACTGTGCCGCCCGTCACCTCGGGTCCGCGACGTGCATCGGCAACTCAGCCGACCCGTCTTGAAACACGGACCGAGGAGTCCTGGCCGTTCGCGAGTCGTAGGGGCCCGAAGAACCCCGAAGGCGCAGCGAAAGCGAGAGAGCGCGTGGGAGGGCACCGGTACTGGAAGAGGTGTCTCGGCGAAAGCGGTTCCGGCGGGGAGTTTCTCGCTTCCTTCCGCCTGCCTAGCCGTGCCCGATTCCGCCGGCGCTTGCCGTTTTCGTCCCGTCGTTTGTTTCCCCCTTTTCCTCCGTCCGTCCCGTATCTCCACGATTTTCCCGTCGCCGTAAATTATAGAGAACCCTGATCGCTCACGTCCTGAAAGGAAAAGGGCACATAGAAAAAGAAATATCTAAAGGGGTAGCGGAACAAGATTTAGCAAACATGGAGAAAAAATAAGAAAAATATTAAGAGCTACAAATGAGAGGAAATTGTAGATAACCATGATCACCCAGGTCCTGAAGTGACACCGTACTTAGAAGAAGAAGAAGGATGAATTTGAGTAAAGGGACGGCGGAGCGAGGTTTTAAAGAGGTAGCGAAAATTCAAAATTTCATTAAAAAAAAAAATAACAGGAAATTCTAGTGAACCATAAACGCCCACGTCCTGAAGGGACAAGGCACATAGAAGAAGAAGAAGAAGAAGAAGAAGAAGAAGAAGAAGAAGAAGAAGAATGAGCTTGTGTAAATGGATGGCTGAACAAGGTTTACGAGAGATTACGAAAAGACAAATTTACTAAGAGATACAATGAACAGGAATGTTTATTGAATCATGAACACACACGTCCTAAAGAGACACGGCACAGAGAAGAAGAGTGATTAACATGTGAAACATTCCAAAATTGCAATTCACTAATTTTAGGATTCTATATTAATATTCTGTATTAGCCTTTACCCTTAACACAGATCTGTAGTCATATATATATATATATACAGGGGACCGACACTATGTTTCAGACACTTTATTTCTTCGTTTTAGGTAGCACAGGCAGTCTGTACTGTTTTAGTGTAATGGCAATAACATTTAAAAACTGTTTCAATACTACAAATGAAAATGCAGAATTCAAATTAGAAGTATTTTTTTAAATTTTTTTTTACAAATTTTCACATTACACAGGCAACATTGTTTATGGCAGCACTTTTTTTTCAATGACTTCTATCAAGCTATCTTCATAATGTTCGCACATATTGATAATAACGTCTATTCATGTTTCCAGCAGTCTAGTTTTAGCATCTTGTATGCGCTGCCAAAGTTCAGCCTCTCTGGTTATTTCTGGCACGTCGTAAACAAGCTCTGCAAGCATTTCCCATATGTTTTCAATTAAATTTAAGTCTGGACTACTTGCAGGCCATTCCAGAGTAGTTATATTTGCTTCAAACTACCAATTTTTCACTGATTTTGCCACATGGATGCTGCAGTTATCTTGCTGCAAAATAAAATTACTTCCGATTTCTTTTTCTATGAAGTGGTAGGGCTCTCTTTTCCAAAAGTTCTCTGTAGCTCAAGCTATTTTGACGTTCTTTTAACCACTCGAGCCGCAAATTTCCATTCGGAAATACCATACACCAAATCATGACTCCTCCTCCTCACATCTGACTCTTGTTGAGAATAACAAGTTCAACTTTTCTCGACCTTGTACACCACCCGTCAGGTCCATCGAACTTAAAACGTTTTTTTTTTCATCAGTAAATATCACTTTTTTGAAGTCAACATTGTTATTCATATTTTGGCGCTTCCCAGCCTTGCCTCCTTGTGTTTTTTGTTAGTGTAATTCTTTTCTTGATTTTAGCATACTTAAGTCCAGTTTCGGGTAGCTTTCTTTGTACAGTTCGAACACTGACGTCAAGTTCACACTTCTCTTTTACATTCTTCGCTGCCACCTTTTCTCCAGATGATAACAACCTCGTGACAATCCTCTTCATTCTTCTCTCTGTTCACTTGGAAATTGTTTTTTTCCATCCTCTCTTCTTCCACTCATAGTCAGAACTTAGCAGGTATTCAAATGTTGATTTCGGTAGCTTCATCTCAGCGGCGATCTTTCGGATGCTGAGCCTGTCTTCTCTCTTCTTTTGTACCAAACTGATGACTTCATTTGAATGCATTCTTCTTCAGGATTTTAATACCTTTTCGCAGTGAGTGGTAAAGATACTCACATGTAATGGTCAGGGTACAATTTAACTGTAGAAAATTTGCATATTGTAGATGTTCGACGACTAAATCATTAAAAAACCCGGAATTTGTGTCATGTCCGAAAAATAGTGTGGCCTAAGTTGAAGTAAAAATAAAGAAAACATGAAACCAAAGACAAACCCATCAATCAATGTTCATACTATTAATGGACTGTTACTGCTGAACTACCTACTCATCGACAAAAAAAGCTCTCGGTAGTAAAAACCACCTTTAAGCACACTTTTCAAAGTGTCCCCAAAATAGTGTCGGCCCCCTTTATATATATATATATATATATATATATATAACCCTTCATTGCCAATTCAAGAAGGAAATTCGGATTACCAACACACAAACAGAGAATGTCTCATATCGAGAATATTTAACATTGAACATGAGGAAACATTAATTATTTTTAATAATATGTGGAAATCTCCACTTTTACCTGAAGACGGTCGCGAGACCAGAAACCCGTGTCGTAAAATTATGTAAAACAATGCATATATTTTTTCTAAATAAATCCACATTACAACCAAAAACGTTTGCGGCACCTCTCTTCTCTTCTTTTTAATATACATATTTTTCTCTCGTTGGAACCACTACAACATATTTCTTTTATATATATATATATGGTCATGAAGGTGACGAATACTATCTTTACGATACATTGTCGTCCTATTCCTTTACGTTATCATAGTAAAGCCTTATAATGTTTTAATGGAATAAGAATGTTGTCGTTCTGTTTGTTCAGTTTTGACAAGTCTTGGCGTTCGAGCCGGTAGAAAAATGTTTTCGAAGTTATAGAAGTGACTGGTGTTATCTCATCGTGATCTACGGATGTAGTAATGTTCATTTTGCCATTGTTCTAACCTTAGAAGGATTGCTAAAACGGCACGTTTAACATGCATATCAGTTCTTTGAAACCACGATCCAACCGTTCGAATGCTTACAATCTGACCTAAATCAAATTGCTGTGATTGAAGAAACAGTACACCTCTGTATCACCGTCGCATTATTCAATGAAAATCGATACTGTATTGTGTTCTGCTTTAGCGTCAGTTTAAATGTTACAACATTTGTGCATGATTTATTTATTTGTTATTCCTGCTTGTATCGTTTTCTGTTCTTAATTAAAACAACAGAACATATAATAGCACTTTTCAATAGTATTCTTTTTTTATTTTTTTATTAACATCTGTCAATATTTTTTTTTGTTTTCTGATTTACTTTGTCCACATTCAGATCGCGTGCTGAAAGAAACTTCGGAAGAAAATTAGAAAATTCCACGTTTAATTTTCTCTTTACATTTATAAAACGTAGTTTGCATAGAAAGAAAATACTATATCAATGTCGGGAAATTGTTGTGAATTCGGTGGAAATCAATGAGAAATTCTAAATGTTTATAATGGATGTAAATTAGAAATGAAATCAGCAATAAATATATTCCTTACTGTTTCATTGTTTTAACATAAATCCAGAATTTCATTTAACTTCCTTTGTATATAATCAAAAATAGTTTCTGCATATTTAAGAAGACTGCTTACCTCGTTTATGTTAGAGGGTATCCGCCAGACGAGGCTCTGCCGAAGGGCAAAGTCTCGTCTCGGGAGACGGACTCCGGTTTTACGTGGTCTCTAGGGAATTTTTGCCCAAGCCTACGTGCTCGCATACCCCACTTTAAACTCGGCCTTGTGCCACATCTTGCTGCGTGTGGCAGCGGGTAAATAATTATTTAAGAAGAAAACGATTTCTTGTGTTATGTGCCATATAAACGGTCGGTTTTATTATAAGTATAGAATAAGTGAATTCTATTTTTCTAATTTTATAACAAGTAGGTGAATCTAAGGATATATAATAAAAAATAATGATGGCTAAGATAGAAATTTATTAAATCGGTATGTGAAATGCAGGAACAAAGCGTGAAGTTATAAATAAGTTAATAATGAGATATACAAATCGGAAAAAAAGTTGTTGATAAGGAGAAATCGGGTAAAGATGCAATAATTAGAAATAACTTAAAGAAGTTATAAAAGCAATAAGAGGTGAAAATGTTAATGATAAGTGGGAGATAAAGAAGAAAAAAAAAGTGATACAAATGTTATATACCGATAAAAAAAAATACAATAACTAACAATAGATCCACAAGAGCACAAACATACAAATTGTTAATATCTGATTTCATTGACTTAGAAACAATCACGCAAAAATTTCGGAAAAATAACAACTCGTAAGACATTAGAGAAATTGTTTTAAGAGCAATGTTTTTTTGTATTTTCTCCTGACGCTATGGTTGCTTATATATCTTAGATAAATAGAGAACGAAAGAAACAAGTTTCTATTCTCGTCGCCAAGTGATGAGAAGCTTTCTGGTCTGGACGGTTAGTGATTTCAGTCGATTGGCTTCTTCCCTACCAACGCTATTTTCTCGATCAATGAACGTTTAAGCAAACATTCGCTCTAGGAAACAAGCCAGCTGAGCGATTTTTAAGTCTCTCTCTCTCTCTCTCTCTCTCTCTCTCTCTATATATATATATATATATATATATATATATATATATATATATATCAAACCACTCTAGTACATTACGTTGGTGTTTTATATATAAAAACATTTACGTTAGTTCTTTTTTATTTTCATGTGTTATTGCTACATCAAGATTTCTTGTTAGGATTAAACCAAGTGACAAATCGTTCGGTAATATAGATAAACCCAATATTATGAACAATAACTATATTTATAATCTACTCTCATACGCACACATATACCCATTCATAGACAGGCATATCCTTATATCCAAGTGCGAGGAGAATATATACCATGAGAGATGTTTAAGACTACTCAGGTACTATATGAAATTCAAAAAGCGACCTGAGTATGACGATAAATATCATCCGACAGTAAGTTCGCTGATCGAGAGATTCTAAGGAGCGGGAAACCACCTTTTATTCCCAGGCCCAGGTAGCACTTATTCGGGTCCCAACTATGGGCAAATATTGAACTCACAACCGGTTGTTAAAACACTATGAAAGTATAAAAATTCATTTTTTTACAGTGAAAATACCAGAAATGCATTTTCATTGTAAAAAAAAATTACCAGTAATATTTTTTGTCAAAAATTAAAACAATAAAAATTACAAGTAATACACTTCTTTGAAGTCAAGAAAAAAAATCGGTATTAAATGAACCATAAGTTGTTGATATGCGGCTAACCAAACAAATTAAGACAGTACTCCCTATTTAGATGCACTCCAAATTTTATATGGAGTATCAATAAACTAAAAGAAAACGTTAAAAAACAAATAAAAGCTCAAGTAATTGCAATATCGGGTGCGATTAGTAAGTTGTCGCCAATGTATCGTTTCATTTCGCTTTAAATCTTGTTGGCCTCACATAATGGTAGGGACATTTGGGGAGGAAAAGAGAACCATGACGTGATTCACTTCACCAGAAATTGGGAAATGGCATTCTGTACTGCTTGGCATTCGCGCCGAAGGGTCCAATACGACAATTTCGGAGTTTTGGGGATGTAAATCTGAGTACAGGGCAGAATATTTGGAAATTTGTGGATGAGTCTAATTGTGATTAAAAGGTATGGTAGCTCGGAAAAAATTACTCTCATCGTTCTGATAAGAAAATAACTTCCGAATGTGTTGGTGAGGGCCACAACATAGAGCACTACATAAATTTCCTTGAGGAGGTAGTACTGCCCTGTGTCAAGAGAGGGCGGTTACTGAAAGACTATATCTGTCAACAGGATAGATCACCATCCCACACCAGGAGGAGTACCCAGTCATGGCTGTCAGACAATTTCTGAGACCAAATCACCCTTTATATCTAGCCACCTAACTCCCTAGACTGCAGATTCTTGATTATTATGTGTAGGGCGTCGTTGAGAGAGAGACAAAAAAAAATCCTCGTAACACCAAAGGTGAACGGAAGGCAAAGATTATAGCAGCATTCACCAACTTAAACAAGGAGACCGTCCAGAAAAGTTGCAGGAAATTCCGAATTCATTTGGAGGTCATGGCTGAAGCCCATTGCAATGTTATTGAATAAATTTACTCTTTAGTAGTCTGTCTATATTTCTGAAATGAGGTATTATGTACATTATTTACATTATTCGGACTTTTGTCCTCATCTAAGTTGAGGACAATAGTCCGAATAATGTAAATAATGTACTCTTTAGTATTTAAAAATGTTTTTGTGCAATTTGATGTTACTTCTATCTTTTAAAATAAATGTCAGTGTTATTTTATGTCTTACGTGATGTCGATGAAAATGTATTCATCGTTCCCTGTATAAAATCTATCCTCCTATATGACCGTGAAATTTGGTCAACATCATAAAATATGAAGAAGATATTTGATACCACAGAAAAGAGATTTTCCGAAAATTCTGAGAACATTTTAAGCATAACATCTGAGTAACATAGAAGATTAAAATGCATATATTCGGGTATAATCTAATCCGAAAATTTTATATAATAATAAGTTATATCTAATAAATATAACTAAACAAATTTCAATGCAAACAAATCAGGCCGGATTCTTGAA